TCGAATACGGCGGTGGCATTGACTGCACGCTTTGCTCACGGGCTAGTGCATGATATACCGCTTATTGGACAGGAGTGGCGGAGGTGGTGGGCGCAGCGGAGGGTACGCCAACAACAACAGTCCAAGGCCCATATTGCCCTGGCCACTGTCGGAGGGGTGGTGTTTGTTGCGGCCAACGTCGGTCTATTTTATTTATATAAGGGATTACTGCCCTTTGGCGCCCCAGTCCAGTCATGGAGGGCACCAGTCACTTTGGGTTTGAGCGGGTTTGGAGCGGCCGGTGCTTTGTTTTCCTTTCCGGAGCTTTAAAGGCACAAAACTTAAGGTATATGGGAGATGAGTGCGATTATCACGGCTTGAAATATCTCTGGACCAATTTTGGGCGTTCTTTGGGGTTATGATATGGCTAGAGGGAAACTATGTATTACAATTGGGCTGCATTTGTAAAGATAATAATATGTCTGTCGAACTGATGATGTATAACAGAACCGGAAGTGTATATACGCGGAGAACTGCTGCGTGAAGTATTCTGGCAAGTTTGATATTCAGGATATAATAGACACATCCTTGCTTATTAAGTGCCAGAATACGGTATGTACTTCACAAGACGCCGGATGCCGGCAACCTGAGGCCCGGACTCGGGCTCGAACCGGCGTGACTCCAGCCTGAGTGGGGCCGCAGCGGCCGACGTGTATAGTAGGGTTAGGGTCAAACATATATCAGACCGTGACTTTGAAGTGGACGGTTCAAATGTGCATGCCTGTGCACCTTGATGGTTCGTTCGACTCACGCTTTTGCCAGCTTATCGATACAAACATCGAAAGCAGTCCTTAATCCTTATCGAGTCCAAAAATTCACGATTTGGTCGCTATCTCTATTTTCATCCGGCATCTGTATCACATCACCACGATCGGTACTGAGCTTTGATTTTTGTCGACAACTGGAGCTCCCGGCCTTTCGATCTTATTACTCCATTCATCCACTCCTCAACTCTTTCTAACTTTGGTCCTTACAAAGACAAAGGCTAGCAACACTCCTTAATTACACCCACAAATCCAACTCAGCACACATGAATGCTGCAGTAAATCATCACAATAACCAAGAGGTGAAGCGGTGAGTAAAAGATGCGGTCTCACGCACCCTCGCCGGAGGATGATGCGGCGGAAGAATCCGAAACAGAAAGAACTGCAAGCATTCACATCAAAGATGAGCAACTCACGGGTGGTGGTGGTGGCCGATCCGACGCGGACGCGGAGTACGAAACGGTCGAAGATGAAGACGACGAAGAGGAAGAATGGGACAAGAGCACCGCCGAGATCATGTCCATCTCGTCTGACGAGCTCCACGAGACCCGCCCCAACCGCTGGACAGGTCCGCCTGCCACCTGGAGAAACTGGACGCAGGAGGACAGAAATGCGTGGATTTCGATTGAAGGTGCGAGGAGTCAGGATTTAGGCGTGCATCTGTATAATGCGTTTGCGCTCAAGAAAGCAGCAGCCGCGATTGACGGCGGTGATATTCAGCATGGGAATGATGATGGTGGTGGTCGGCGCTGGGCTCCGCCTAAAGTGTGGACGGCGTGGCCGTTAAGCGAAGATGATGTTCCGGATGACTGGCTGTTGCCTAGGACCGTTGACATGCTCGAGGAGGACACGGTCAGGCGCAGGGATTGGAAGGATCTGTTGCCGGGTACGGGCCTGGAGGAGGAGATTTCTGCGGCGGTTATGAAGTTTGCAAAGGAGAGGTTTATGAGGAGGGACTTCTCTGCTGCTAGAAAGAAGGAGACGATTAAGCACTCTGTCGAGATTGAGAGCGGAAGCTTGAGGAGACCTGGCAGTGTCTCGGATGGACAGTCCGATGACTCTGGTGGTGAAGAGACTGACCGCGGAAGAACACCTGGTCGCGAGTCAAGAAAAAGGCGCCGATCACCCTCTTACTTCCCAATTCTCTCGGCCGACGATGCGGGTATGTACAGAATGGTCCGCCCGGCCACACGACGGATCATGGAACAGCTGGACGAAACTTTGAGGGTGCTGCATAACTCTAGAATTGCCGCCTTGCGCAACTTTTCTACGTATGAATCCGCATCGGAAGAAGAGGAAGAAGAGGAGGCTGCAGCGACTGACAAGGAGCCAGACGAGGTTGGTGATGCCGTTGGTTCATCGACCACACACCTGAAGAGAAGAGGCCGACCACGGCATGCGTCACCAAGATATTACGAGAGCGAACGATCATTGCAGACCAGTAGGGGGCGACCAAGAAGGGTTCATGTGCCCAGGGAAGGCGAAACGGAAGAAGAGATGCTCATCCGCGTGAGGAGGCAATCCAAGCGGCGGAACCCCATCTATGACAGTGATGCAGCAGACGGGGAACTGTCATGCAGCCGGAGCGTTAGCCGAACTAAGAGGAAGCCCGTTGCTCGAGTTGGACAGTCAGTATCACGAAGCTTCGGAGAGAGCAGATCAAGATCACGCAGCGCCATATCCCCCGCGACTCTTGAGGACTATCGAAACGATCATATGTATAGTCTTCGGGACTGGCGAGATGTGCTCGGTGCTGCTGCTCTGGCTGGGTTTGCGTCTGGTGTGGTTGCTCGTGCGACGCAGAGGTGTGCTACCTTGTTCAGAGAGGATATGACGATGAACACTTTGCGTGAGGTCCCTATCAAGGACGAGCTGATGGCGGGCCTGGAGACGAAGCGCTATATTCCTGATGTGGTGCCTGAGGATGTCATGTTCTCAGATGAAGACGTGGACGATGACATGGACGAGAAGACGGAGCTCAAGCTCACTCTACAACAGCGTCGGGCTACCAGTCGCCAGCCGAGTATTGTCGTGCGGCCAGCCGAGCCACAATCTTCTCCGGTCATGAAAAGGGAAGCCAGTGGGAGCGAAAGCGAAAAGAAGAGGAGGCAGCGATCAGCGACACCGGGAGGAGTTAAGAATATCTTCTGCCCGCATGCCGACTGTCGTATGGCAGTTACGAGCTTCGCGCGGCACTACAATCTTAGGCGGCACTTGGAGAAGCAACATGGCGAGGTTATGACCCCACGTGCTAGGGGTAGGAGCAGGTCCGTCATGACCACGGATAACGAGTGGGAAGACGAGGATGAAGAGGACAGCGTCGGAGAGATGGACGGCGCGGTGCATGTGGATGGCTTCCTGCGGCCTATCCAGATCCAACGTGGATGGACAAACATTTCTAAAGGGACAGATAGAGGAGGAAGATATAGAGTGAAAGGGTTTGTCAAAGATTCTGAGGACGAAGACGATAGTAATAATAGCGACGCTGGAGAGCACCAGAAGCTGGAATTGTCAGATTGAAAGGAAAAGTGTCTTGTTAGGATTATTGTATTTTTCTTCGGTCGTGATACCAGGCCGATTTCCCTTACCAGTTCAAAGGAATACAAATGCTCAACCTCCCAATCCAGTTCAGCCTACTTCTTCGCTGCAAACTGTCTCTCCACCTCGTCCGCAAAATCCCCGATCGTATCAAATTTAGTCACGAACTTGATCTTTCCTTGGGCTATCAACTTCTTGTAATCCTCTCCGATGCCGTAATTCTCCTCGACGTCTCCCCCGCGCGCAATCCATACCGACGGAAACCCCAGGGCCGCGGCGGGCCCATGGTCCGCCGTCAACCCCCTCGCGACATGCAACAGCTCCTTCTTCTCCCAGTCGACGCCAAACTCGTCCTTGGCATGCGCAAACAGGTAGCGGAAGTTGTTGAGGTCAGGCTTGTACGACCCGATGTTCTCCGCAGTGTACACACCGTCGAACTCGACAGGTGCCAATGCGGTCTTCACGGCCCGCTGGATGTTGTTGTTGTCCACGTTGCTGAGAATGATGAGTCGGTAGTGCTTCTTGAGTTTCTGTAGGCCGGCCACGGTGTCGGCGAAGGCTGTCCACCTGCCCGGACCGGTGCCGACGGCGTTGGTCTCGGCCTCCGAGACGGTCAAACCGGCCTCTTTAGCCAGAAGACTAAAGGACTCCATCAGGTTTTCGTTGTAGAGCTGGGTCGGCTTGGTGGCCCAGAGATGCTCCGAGAACTCGTTGAAGCGCTTGACGGCGCGGGAGGGCTTCTCCGCCCACGGGTGGGTTGGCGGGAACTGGGAAAGGAGTGGGAAGAGGTCGGCCGCTAGGCCGGACTCCCAGTCAATGAGGGTGCCGTAGCAGTCGAATGAGAGGGCCTTGAAGCCTGTGAAGTCGGGGGGGTGGGAAGACATGTTTGGACGGTGGAATATGACATAGGCTTGTGATAATCAGATGTGGTTGGCGAGTTCACAGTGCAGGTCCACGAAATGATGGATGAGGCCTTTGATATATATTCCTCGAGGTCATCAGGCGAATACACGGATTCGGGTCTCAAGGGGGTTAACTGCTACATCGCGCCTTACTCCTTGCAGAGTACATGTCAAGTGTGAGATGATGTCAATTCATTGCATGATTATTCATACAATCTTCAATCCCGTCAAGATCACCCAAGCATTAGGACCAATCAATCAGTGCCACTGAAAAGGGCGCGATGGTGGCAATGACGGACGGTCGGTGTATGAGTCGTCGGGAAGTGCGAGCAGCGAACTGCATTGCATAAGTGCGAACTTTACTGCATCACTGCAACGCCCACCCCCTCACGAGACCTTTTGCCGATGCTTTGGTCGTATCGGGAGGATCGCCGATTAGTCGGAGGATACCCCGGGGCTTCCGGTTACACACGATATCAAAGAGCATGGTGTTGTTTACTGTGTGTCTGCCAGGTTTACTGTGTCTGCCAGGTTTACTGTGTCTGCCAGGTTTACTGTGTCTGCCAGGTTTACTGTGTCTGCCAGGTTTACTGTGTGTCTGCCAGGAACTGACGGTGGTGAATGGAAAAAGGGTGGCTTGATGGCACAATGGCTATGATACCTCGTAACCTCATGTACGAAAAAAAATTGGGAGATAACAAGTTGATAGAGTATTTATAAAAAAGAAAGAAAGAAAACATGGAAAAAGGCAAAAATGAGGTCGTGCCCGGGTTCGAACCGGGGTTACCAGAAGGGTTGAGATGATTCTCTATCTCGACTGGGTCGAGAAGATTTTGATGCTCAAAATCTGGAGTGATAACCACTACACTACACAACCCGAATTTGTTGTTTGATGACTCTTCAGTGGAGAAAAGGGGTACAAAAAGGCCTCTTGTTCCTCCTTCCACTCCTCTTCTTGTGCGTCCGAGTTCGCCAAGCCCAGGCCCTCATGCCCACAACTCCACAACTCCACTGCACCAAAACCTCTCCCCTCTTCCGAACTTAATATAAAGCCACAACAGAACAAAAAAATATCAAACAAGAGGCGAGATGGCCGAGCGGTCTAAGGCGCCACGTTAAGGTATTCTAAACCTTGATAACTCCAATCAAAACTGGATTCCGTGGTCCGAAAGGGCGTGGGTTCGAATCCCACTCTCGTCAATCATACAATTAACTTGTTGAACATTCAGCGAGTTCCTCTTTTTGTTAGATATTCGCTGTTTCTTGTTGATCCCCCCACCCCCCTTGTTGGTTGGGACACTTTCACCATGATGCCACATCACGTCTGTGAGGGCATCCAAATATGTATCTACCCAGTTACCTCAACGAGCATTAAATACCGGTATTCTCACCAAGACATCCATCTTATCGTATCGAAAACATGGTTGACATTGGCACACATGTTTTGAAAAGCTAGATACTGATATCAACAACAGTTTGTTGGTTCTTCATTTGTACAATATTACTAGAACAGCGGTAGGGGTGAATCATATTCCCTCAAACAACAGAACCATTCTTCGCGAGAGGGAGCTTGGGTATCAGTTACTGAGAAAGAAGATACAGAATAAAGAAAATCCTTGAACGAACGAACGAATACTCGAAACAGTAGCAAATCGAAGCGGTGCTTTAGTTGCTTTTCCAGACATTGACCGACAAAAAGAAAGCCGACGAGACTCCTAAAATTCCAAACTGCGATTGAACATGCAGCGAAAACCCAACACCAACAACCGCAATATCCCTCGATTCCCTCGTCCATTTCAGCATGTCAAACAAAGCAATCAGTTCAGCCGCGGACTCTTCCTCCTAGAACCGCCACCGCTGCCTCCACCAGTGCTCTGCGAGAAGACATGCGGAGGAAGCAGATTCTCCACCCCATCGGCAACAGCGACACTTTTGCTCTTCTGTTTCCTAGTACTGAACCTCGTTAACTTGCCGCCTTCACCGGAAGTAACAATCCCGCCGGCACTCCGTTTCAGCAGCGGCATTGTGTGGTTGTGGTTTATCGTATTCTCGTCCTCGTCGATGGCAGGCATCGACATCACGCTGGCGGTGGGATCGAACCCCATCACCATCGTCGTCGTCAGATTTGGATTCACCTCGCGCAGGCTCCTGACCGTACTCATACTGTGAGTCCGCTGTCTGGTCGTTCGCTCTGGTCTTCCACCAGATGAAGCATTGCTGCTGGAGGACGGCCTTGGCAGTGGAGATGTAGCGCCGCCGCCCGGCTGGAGATCCAGGACCTCGTCGCCAAATATGACTGGCACGGACTTGCTTGGTGTTGGGGCGTCGCGCATCCCTGCGATGAGGATGTCGTGCGAAAGGGTGCGAGGAAGCTCTGTTGGGTATTGGTATTCCATTTTCTGAGGTGTTTCGCCTGTTGGTTCATATTCTCGAAGGACGGTGCATTGCATGTCGCGGCGGAGACCAGTCAACGGTTGGATGACCTCCTCCTCCAGTGGAACCAGGGTCTGCACGAGGTCATCGATATCGGTTTCCACTGCAGAAGCCAGCTCATGAGCCCTGTTATGCGTATCCGCAAACCGCTCAGAGATGTTGGAGAAGGATTTCTCGACAGCATCATCTAGGTTTTGCATGGCCTCGGCATGCTGCTCGTGGTGCTCGGCATTCTGGGACCTAGCTCGCGAAACAAAGTCGTCGAGATCTCTCATCTGAACATCAAGGTCCTTTATCTGCTCGTCCACGACTCGAACAGTTTCCGCATGGACAGACTTTGTAGTCGTCTGGACCGAGGTGCTGTGAACATTCGCGGCCTGGGAAATAAATTAGCAAGCGTTCCTGAACCACTGTGGACACATAAACTCACCACCCAGTCATCCTTCAACCTAGTCTTTAACGTATCACGCGTCTTGGTAACCGCTGCCAGCAGTTCGCTGTCCTTGGAGCCCCAAGCATCCATTCCGTTCGAATACTGAGCAATGTTGTCCTCAAAAGTCTGGTTGAAATCTTGAACTGTTTGTCGGATGATGGCCGTTTTGCCCGCAAGCCGAGACTCCTGGAGCTCACCCTGGGAATTGACAAGAGCAGTGATCTGCGACAAAAGGGTCTGGCGTTCAGCAGCGGACCTTTTCCGCTCTTCGTCCAGCACTTCTTGGATCCTGGTTGAAACCGACTCGTTCGACTCAACTATCGTCCGGGATGCGCCCTCCAACTGTCGCCTGAGCTTATCCGACTCGGCCTTCTGAGCGCTGATATGTCGAAGCAGCTCTTCAAATATGGTCTTGAAGTCCTTGCCGAGCGAGCTATATGAAGTATGAAGTTGGCTATGGAAAGTGTCCAGCTCGCTGAGGACATCGCCTGCTATCCGTTCAGCAGCAGAGGAAATGGCTTGCAAACTTTGGCCAACACGCTCTTTGACGCTGTCCCGGACAATCTTAATTCCCTCCAGAACATCGTCCATCTCTTCTTTGGATTTTTGCTTTTGTTCCAGCAGCTGAATCTTGGAGTCATCAAAACGTGCAAGGTTGTTCTCGAGGAACGCTTGGGTCAATCCTAGCTGCTCGACTTCCTTCTCTACAAAGGATTGCACACGCTGAGACATGCTGGAAATCTGCTCTTCCTGGCTCTGGCAGAATTTGTCCATACGCGTTTCCACCAATTCTGTGATGCTCGAAACTTGGGCCTGGGACATGCTCCATGTACTTCGATTCAGGCTCTGGAGCTCAGACTTGCGCCTGTTTTTCGCGTGGAGGCCATCCACGTCGTTGACGGTCCGTTTTATCGTCATGAGCAGCTCGCCACCAAGAGTAGATAGTTGCTCTTCTGTCGCCTGATGTGCCTTGCGAATGTGTGTCTCCTCAGCCAGGGTCTTCCGCGTCGCCGCCAACACAAGCTCCGTCTGATCAAGAACCTCCTTGGTCTCATCAAGTTGCATTCGGGTTCCTTCGTGCTCCTTTTTGAGACCCATGAAACTAGACGTTAATGAAAGCAGTTCCTGCAGCTTATTCCTTAAGTTTGCTTCGAGCGTCTCAATCTTCGCCGCTTGCTCTTCCGTCAAAATTCTGCGGGACTCATTCTGCACTGTGATTTCTTCGTATGCGTCGTTTGAAAGATACACACCGTTGCGCTGCCGTGTGGCGATGAGCTCTCCTTTGAGCTTTTCGATTTCGGCTGTGAACTCCCTTAGAAGAGTCTTCTTGTTGATAAGGGCATTGATTTGCGGCTTGTTGCGGATATTCTTCGCCCGGAAGGCGTAATCCAGGGTCGAGATCGTCTCTTCCAGATTGCTCTTGGCTGGAGATACCGTAGCAATGATGCAGGTTTTGGTTCGCCCGCCCAGCGAATCCTGCAGAAGGCGGGTCAGTTTGGACTCTCGGTATGGTATATGTTGGCTGCGGTCAACCAGGGCGTTGATGACGCGGCCGAGGGTGAGCAAGCTCTTGTTGATCAGCCCGGCTTCGGCTGCGCGCTTGTTCTCGGCACCAGAACGTTGGATATTTTCGCTGCCGGCGAGATCGACAAGGTTGAGCTTTCCAGCTATGAGGAAGTCCTCCCCATTCTCCGTCATTTGCTTAACGTAAATGGTGATAGTGAAGACCGTGTGACTGCGACTACTCAAGTCATTGCATTTTGTGGCTGCAACTTGGCGCCTCAGACTACCCTCTTGAAGCCATCTGAGACCGTCTGCTGCATTTGTGATGTGCCGTTCCTCCATGCCTTGGACAACCGTTGTAGAATGACCTTTCCGCGACGCGTCATCGTAGATCTTCAACTTCGCACCCTCTTCGGCCGATAACAGGTCCCTCAGTTCCTCGTTGTAAAGCTCGATAAACGAGCAACGGACGCAGTTATCACTCTTGTCAACTTCTAGTTTGTTAAAAAGGGCATGAAGAACTCGAGGGATGATTCCTGCGGTGTCGGGCAGCAGGCCCATGGTTTCGGTCATGTCGCCAGACATCGTGTACGTCTTGCCGGTGCCCGTTTGTCCGTAGGCAAAGATTGTGCAGTTGTATCCGGCCAGCATCTAAAATGATCAGCAGTTGGTCGACGACGGCGCGATAGTATATATGAATTACCTCGTCCATTATGGGCTTCACTACATCGTCGAAAACCATGGCTTGGTCGGCAGCCTGCGAAAAGACACGGTCGAAATTGTACGCTTTATTGCTCAGAGCGTTAGGTCCCATCGAGAGGTTGACCAGTTTGCCTTTGACGCCATCCGTCGACACCACCACGGCACTGTTTTCCTTGACCTCGCGCTCATTGCGGCCGCGACACCGCACGACGACATTGATGTTGGTTGCCTCGCCTTCGTCTGCATCAAACTCCCGCTCCTTCCGCTTTGCGCCTGTTGTCGTCGCCGTCGTCGCCACGGACATAAGCGACTCTGCGGGCGACGCGGCACCTGATCTGTCGATACGCGGTAATGCCGATGCACGGCGCGTGTATGGCTGTCTGGCTGTTGTGGTTGATACATTTCTCGTCGGTGGTCGAACACTGGCGCGTTTTTGAGGACCGCCGCGCAGTGTGGACGCCAGTGTCGATATGTTTCTTCGCTCCATGGCGGAGCTATCGCGTGTCGGCCTCGACAATCGGCGAGTTTTAGTTTCGGTTTCGATTCGTGTTAGGAATTAAAATGGTTTGATCTCTGCAAATGCTGCAAAACGCGGGTATCCGAGCAGACCCAAGAAGAAATTCAATGTCCCTCTTGCTAGCTGGGATGCAATGGCTAGGGTGTTGACGGACGTTTGCTTGTCGTTGAAGAAGCCTACACCTGCCGGGTGGGGATTTTTGCTGGGATCCGTCGTGACAACAAACCGCAGTCGTGCCCCTCGCTGCCGGGGCAACCGGCTGCAGTTGGTCCCACCACACCGCAGAGGCCCTGGCTTGGCATTTGGGGTTGACATGAGGTGACATGGGTGCCCCTCCATTTTGCCTGTCGCGGGATGACGTCCCGTCCTGCAGGCAGCTCCCCAGGGCTGTTATCGCCTGGTGCAGTCCCCTGACCTGCTCACCACAGGGCAATAGCCCCTCTGGCTGGATCACGGGGGGCATCGGATGGAAGCTCGAGCTCGGTCATTTCCTAACACGTACCACCCTTTGTCCTGACATCCATCCCAGCATGACTAGGTAAGGTAGACGAACAAACAAGTGCTGACCTGAATCCTTTAATACTCTTTCTTGCACTGCTTTCGTCCGTCAGT